CTTGGGAGTCTTCCCTCCCTTTGATTTTTTGGGAATAGTTTGAGGAAGATAAGTGTTAATTCTTTTGTAAAACTTTGGTAAAATTTGCCCATGAAGCCATCTGGACCTGGGCTTTGTATGCTGGGCGGTTTTTGAAATTACTGCTTCGATTTCATTAGTTGTAAATGGTCTGCTCTGGTTTTCTGATTATTTCTGATTCATTTTTGGAAGATGTATGCCTCTAGGAATTTATCCATTTTCCCAGGTTGTTCAATTTGTTGGCATATACTTATTCATAGTATTTTCTTACAATTCTTTGTATTTCTGTGATGTCAGTTGTTAATTCTCCACTTTCATTTCTGATTTCATTGGTTTGTGTCCTCTCTCTTTCTTTTCCTTATGAGTCTGTGGTAGGTATTTAAAAGGCCCTGTTATTCCCCAATTTCGTCATCTTTCCTTCCTGCTCAATCTGGGTAGCAATGTGCTTTGTGAAAAACACTTGATGTCCCAACTGTCTTGCAGCTCAGGGTGGCCCCCGCCAGGGAGGGACGTGCCAAACAGGCGCAGCGAACCTACCTGCGGGGTCAAGGCGCGGGCACCGCGCTCGGAGAGTTTTCAAACTGATCTGCTCTCCAGACGGATCTCTCTCTCTCTCTCTCTCTCTCTCGGCGGGACTAGGGTGGCTCAGGAGGTCTGGAGAAAATGAATCTGCCTTCCTCCAGGGTGAAGGCGATGGGGGCTGGGTACACTTGTGAGCTGCAGGCTCTTCGAGCAACAACGCTCCGTGGTCTTAGCTAGTTCAGAAACGGGGCTCTGGGGATGATGATGGTCCTTGCGCTTCTCGAGGTTAGACCGCCAGACTAGGAGTCAGCGGCTCCCAGGGCTGGACGCAGGACGCCGTCTAAATCTGCCCATTGGCGCTCCGGGCATAAACGTAATTCTAGGGGACTCGTTCCCTGGAGGGCATTCCACATCCCACCGTGTCTCCTTACCCGGGAGAGGAGTGGGGACGGGGTTGGGAGGAAAGAAGGCTGAGACTTGTAGCATAAACCCAATCGACGTTTCCCGCGTTTTAATCTCCTTCGGAGCTCAGCCCCCAAAACCACAAGCTTCACTTCCTGAGCGTTAAGGAGTAACTCGCTGAGCCCTCTCAGACCTCCCCCCACCACCCCCGAGTCCGGCGGCGGGGCGCGCTCTTCCTTTGCGCAAGGGACTAGCACTAGCTGGACAGGGGACCCGGCCTTTCCAGCTTCCCTCCCCAGCGCCCCACCCCGTTTTCTCTCCGTGGGACGGCGGGGGTGGGGAGACCCGAAGGACTCAGACACTAGGAATGACTCGAAAGAAAATGAACTATTCTTGGCTCCTGGGAGACTTCCGCGGCAAGAAGAAGCCAAAGATTCAGGACACAGATTGACTGGAGCGTCGGGACTGGCAGAGCCCAGCTCCAAAGCCTCCGGCCCCT